GATAACTCTGGTCTTGTCTATCTGTCTGACCACCGTTGGAACTCTGGCCTTGTCTGCCCATCTGACTGTAGTGGGAACTCTGGCCTTGTCTGTCCATCTGACCAGAATGGGAACTCTGGCCTTGTATGTCTGAATAACCATAGTGGGAATTCTGGTCCTGTCTGTCTGCCTGATCATAATGATAAATCTGGCCTTGTCTGTCTGTCTGCCCATAGTGGGAACTCTGGCCTTGTCTGTCTGTCTGACCATAGTGGGAACTCTGGCCTTGCCTGTCTGTCTGACTACAGCCTGATTCCTGATCCAGCCTCCCAGACTGTCTATAATAAGAGCTTGATTTCTGTGGATTTGTCTGGTTAAAGCGAGAGTCTTGTCCAAGTGTTTCAGATTGTTGTGCAAGCCTTTCATATTGACCATAATGAGAATCCTGAACTGGTTTTTCACACTGATTTAAGGCAAAGATATGCCCCTGCCATTTAGCCTGGCCACTGCTAGATTTGTGACTCACGCTTTCACCGGAGCTGGAATCTTGACTTTGTCTTTCTGAGTGATCAAGGCTGCAATCCTTGTCGTGTCTCTCAGGCTGACCATGGTGTGATTCTCTGTCTTGTCTCTCAGGCTGACCATAGTGAGAGTCCCTATCTTGTCTCTCAGACTGACTGTGGTGGGAGTTCTGCCTTTCTTCCTCGTGCCTCTGTCTGTGTTGTCTACCTGTGTTACCTGGGAACTTATGGTCTCGTGCTCCCTCCTGCCCCCTTTCTTGCTGGGAGGTCCTACCTCCATGTGACTTATTGTCTAGCTTACGATGGCAGGCTTGGACTAACTGGAACACCAACAAGAGGTACTCATGAAAATCAACATGTCCATCCCGGTCTCGATCTAAGAGGTCCAAGATGGTTTCCACAGTCTCTGGGTCATTTGGCCTCTGTGAGAAGACAAAACAAAGAGCAAAATCAGATGCTGTCCTGTGTATACTAAGATGTGTATCAGTGTTCATGACCCAATCCATTCGATGCTGCATGTACCTCCCTAGGTTGAGAAACCATTAATCTGAAGTGGTGTGGACTTGGCGCTAGTCTTTAATCAGCTGGCTCTCAGAACCCTGCTGGATCAATGGGAGCATGACCATAGGGAGTAGATACACTTATTTAAAATCAGCTCCATTAGTAATTAATTTGATTCATTTCAAAGTTATCCCATTCCATCCCAGGCTATATTCTAGTTGTTTACCTCCTTTTTTTTTCTCACTGCCTGTGAGATCCTAAAAGGAGAGGAAGCTGACTTTATTCATGTTTTTATCCCTTGTGCCTAGGGGCATAGAGCAGGTGCTCAGTGACTCTTTATTGATTTGAATGAATGAATACATGAGAAGATGTGTGGGTAGCACTAAAATGTAGAACTCAAGGTATGAATCTCAGGTTTTCTTCTGAGAAATGATTCCCTGTTACCTTGAAGTTTGTACTCCCTCCTGTTCAAACTCAGATACAAGGTGTGTGTGTGTGTGCGCGTGTGTGTGTGTGTGTGCGTGCGTGCGTGTGTGTGTGCGTGTGTGTGTGTGCGTGCGTGTGTGTGTGTGTGCGTGTGTGTGTGTGTGTGTGTGCACGTGTGTGTGCGTGTGTGTACACTGGGAGAGAATTACTAAGAAGCTGCCTGAAAACTTTTTTTGTTGCAGGGTAAAGCATGACCAAATAAAGCAAAGCATCCAATCCTGGGTCAGGGGTCAGAGTCATTCACACATGATTCCATGGGGCTATGTGTCTGTGTATCTTACCCGAAGGATGTCTCCAAACTCAGCGAAGAGCAGTTGCTTCAACTCCTCCTTGCATAATAAGGCACGGTCCCCATTCTCTTTGGCGTATTTGTGGAACACCTCTACCACATTGAGTATGCTATTCAGGAGTTGAGCCATTTTGACAAATACAGGTGAACCTAAAAGAAGAAACAAGATTTCTCCTGCCCTTGGATAATGACCAAGAGACAGCATTACCAGAGGGAAAGTGACCCCTCTGAATCTGGAAAAAAGTTTAAGAAGTGAGAGAACCTTTCCTTGCCCTGACTCACAGTCAGGGACCAAATATCATTGCTATGGTGGGAGATGGTGCAAACTTAGTTCCTCTTCTATAAATATAAGGAGGCAATTTCTTAAAAATCAAAAAATGCATGGTAGGTATTTTACTTATCCCATCCTCTACTCCGGTTAGGACTTGCTTGATTGAAACTCTCAGAACAAAAGGAAGGGAGGACGGGAAGCTCAATAGAGGCAGGGCTGGAAGCCAGCATAGTAGGCCATAATTTTTGAAAAACAACTAGCAAACTGAAGTGGGCACTAAATAGATCCCACTGAACAGTTTCAGCCTTGTAACAAGCCTTCCTCAAGCAAGGAAGAAGGATGAAAGCCTCTCTCCACGGTCTAAGAAAGCTTTCTGGTAGGCTAAATGCCAGCAAATACCTCTGGCCTGGATGATTTTGGGACATGCTTATACAATGAAAATAATGACTATAAAAGCTGTCACAGATAAAAATAACAAGTGGATACATAGTCAAATTAAGGGGACAGATTATAGGAGGTATATATAATCAGTTAGGTCCACATTGGCCATGCTGAGAGAGGTGGGTCTTTTGGGATCTGGATCTTAATTATGTTTTTTTCCTGCGGCACAAAAAATCCAGTTAGTGGGTATATAGGCCTCCAAACTGAAGCCCTATCTGCAGAGCACACTGAACTGCCAAAAGCATACAGTGATGTCTGTAAGAATAAGAGATGAATAATAGATCACTTGGGACAAGCTGAGTTTGTTGCTGCAATTCATCGCAATGAGACTTGAGCAATCCTGGGCCCATGGTCCAGGGCCTTGGCCCTAAACTATTCGGTCTTTCCTAACTTGCACAAAAAGTAAATGCTCCACTATGGGAAACGAAGCTATTCATCAATCGTTCTAGCCCTCAGTTTTGAGATACCTGAGACGCATTGAAGCGAAGGCACTTGCATTTCACAGGCGAAGAAGTAGTCAACCCCAGCTGTCATTGTATTCTCAGATAGAGCCAGAAAAAGGAAGCAGAAGGGATCCAAGTCTATTACCCACAGGAATTAGCCTCAGACCTCCCCAGCCTAGTGTATTATCTGACTCTTGAGAGTGCTGTAGATACTACCATTGCTCCCCTGTGCATGTCTTACCTGCTTGCGGAGGAAGGAGCAGAAGATTCAGGAGTCAGAGAGGATACTGGAGACCTGAAAACTCATCCTATTTATAGGGGTTTTAATTATCCTACCAGGCCATCCTAGGAGACACCCATTCTGTGGCAAAGCCTGAATCACTCTGGTCCCAGCCCAGTTCAGCCCAACTTGACCTCTCCCTCTGCAAACCGTTTGGTTTATTTACTTCCCCCACTTGCTCATGAACCTGTTTGTCACTAGAGTAGGTGATATGATTTAAGTTCCAGCCCCATTTAATTAGAAGAATGTGTGTGTGTGTGTGTGTGTGTGTGTATTTGTGCTGTGAGGGTCCCAAAAGACAGAGGGGTTGGCTGAGTTCATCCTTAATATGTCACTTGCCAATGCTAATAGAGGGCAACAGTCAACTTGTACTGAAGAAGGATATCTATATGGTCATTTACAAACATATGTCAAAGTTGGAACTAGAGAGTCTTTTTCTTGTGCCAGTAGATATTTGGATACTAATCTGTTAACCTATTTTGAATTACTATTATTTTTAATTTAATAGCTCCACGGGCTATTTGGGAGAAGTCGATACATGGTCAGTTTTGGGAATGAGGGGTGCTGATGGTGGAACTTCTACCACTTAAGGCTTCTAAGACTTACTACTAAGAAGTTTGAGTTGAGGGACAACGTGGAAGTTTATCATATCTGTGAGACAGAAATGTTGCTAGAGACCCGGACCTCTTCATTTCCCATCTCCATGCCTTTGGATTCCAGAATAGTGTCTTAAGCATGGGAGATTCTTAGTAAATATTTTTGGGGTAAATGAATTATTGGATTATGGAAGCACTGGAGAATCTTATGTAAGGTGCAAAAAATTGTATACTCACCTGTATTTCTACGTTTGTCTCACATCTAGATCCCTGTTTGGACCTTTTCCTATGTATCCACCAACCAATAGGTTATTGGTAATAGCACTTGCTATTACTTAGTATGTGTTCAGGATTCTGCAAGGGAATCACAACAGTGTAGAAAGATTTTACTTCCGTTGGAATAAAGAAGCTTCACATAGAAAAATATTTTGAACTCCAGGGATAGTACATGCTAAGTGCTGAGTATTAGAAACCTAGGTGCCTGTGGTGTCCTCATGGCTGGGCCTGGATATCCCTTAGGAGATGAGTTTCATGTTATTCCTGAAAGGATTCAGGTGGGCAAAGAAGAAAGCAAAGAACTTCTGAGGGGGGAGAAGGGAAAAATCAAAGGTACTAAGGTGAGAGTTTATATTTTGTGTTTGGATTCAAGTGAGCTGGTAAGTCTGGCTTGAGCAAAGGGATTTAGAAGAGTAGACTGAGAAAATTTTGGAACTGAAAGGGAAATCAGGTCTTAGCCTCTTAATTTTATAGACGAGGAAACTGCAATTCATCTAGATTGAGTGTATTTGCCAAGGGTTTCACCACTGTGACTGAAGCCACGCCTGGTATATTTGTTTCCTCACTCTAGCACAATATGCTTTCTGAGATATTCTCTGAGGCAGATGTGGGGCCTACTTTAGGGTTTATTTTAATGAGAAAGGAGAAGCAGGGTTTTGGTCAGGAAAAATGACATAATCAAAGCATCGTTCAGAAAAGAATCTAATGGCTCTGTTGTGGGTGGTCAGATGTCTCAGTTTGTCTTGGACTAAGGAGTTTCCCAGGATATGAGATTTTCAGTGGGATAGTTCTGGGCAATCTAGACTGAGCTGGTCCCCCTGAACTGTGGTGTACAAGAGGAATTCGAAAGAGGAATACTAAGCAGAGAGATCAGTTAGGAGTTTACTATATGGCCCGGGTGAGAAGTGACAAGGGCTTTGACCTGGATACAGTAGTTCAAAACTATAGGAAGGCAGATGGATAATAGCAGAAGTAAAGGGATGGGGTTTGGGGACAGATTAGATGAGGGACAGGGAAGATGGGAACATTAGGTGAGATTCAAAGTCTTTAAGTCTAGATAACGAGAAGAACTGTGGTACACTGAAGAAATGTAACTTCTAAAGGGTGACTCATGGGCCTAAGATCCAGTGCTTCTATTGGCATTTCCCAGGCCCTCTGCCTTTTGTAGTCTTGTTATCCTCCCTCCAGCTAGCATCCTTGGCTGTCTGGGGTCTCCCAGCACGGGTCAGGACTTTCTTAAGTCTGTTCGTAAATTCTGAGAGCTGGGTCACATTAAGGTTCTCTTCCTACTTTTGCATCTCTACTTAGTTCTCTTCAGTTATGTCTCTTCTCACCTGTTAGAATAAAAGACCTAGAGAAGATTTGGTTGTCCCAGAGGCAGATAAGAGGAGTGGGGGTGGGATGGGCCGGGGTGAAGACAATAGCCATCATGACACAGAACAACAATGCTGTGTCCCCTTTTCTCCTGGCATGTTCCACGGTTCCCTAGCAACTGTTTCTTTTGGTTAGATGGGCAATTCTCTTTGTTTGATGCTGCAGTGAGAGAAAGATTATGTTCTTAAGTGTAGGATCTGCCGTGTGTGCATTCATTTAACACTTAATACACTCTGACAGAATGGGCAGAGAACTTTATTGATCAGCCAGTCAGCTAATCAATTTGTGAGCATACAGAGGGCACCTTTTGTGGGCACTGAGATAAAATGTAGTCTTAGTCCTTAAAAACTTTGTGTCACTGAGATTGAAAGTTCAGTCTCCCTGAGGTACACAAGATCCTTCTCTGTGGTTCAAATTGCTTCACAGGTATCACTATCATCGATAGGGTAGAAAGGGGTTGACTAGAGGGAAGAATGGGGAAGCCACAGGGGCTAGAAATAAAACACATTTGAAGGAAGCACCAAATGTGACCTTTGTTTCTTCGTCTGTAGAAGGAGAGGGTTGGAGCTTTCTTTTGGCATTGGCATTCTGAGATTCTGTGATGCCAGTCTTAAGGTTGACAGTGGCTTTAGGGGTAATATTTAAGCATGGCTCTCTTCAGAAATTCAATAAAGGCCTCAGAACTTCGTGCTTCTCAGTCTTTCTCTGTGGAAAATGGAGGAGGCAATTATGGGTGTTCTGTTTCTCATTAACATTTATAAATTGCATGAGGATGTACCCTATTTTTAAAAATTATTTTTCAATGTGTTTTGCTGCTTTAAAAGCAGTCATGTTGTAGTGTGACCTTTGGTCTCAAAGGTAAGATGCTTTTAAGCTACAATTTATTGAAGTCTTATTGTGTGCTATGCTCTGCATTAAGCATTTTATATATATTATCTCCTTAAAATAATTTCAATTTTTATTGCATATTCCATGGGTATATGTGAAGGTTTATTACATGGGCATACTGCTTGGTGTTGAGCTTTGGGATATGAATGATCCCACTGCCCAGATAGTGAGAATAGTACCCAATGGTTTTTCAGCCTTTTCTCCCCTTCTTCCCCCTTCTAGTAGTCCCCAGTGTCTATTGTTGTCATCATTAGGTCCCTGAGTACCCAAAGTTTAGCTTCCACTTATAAGTGAGAATATGTGGTGTTTGGTTTTCTGCTCCTGTGTTAATTTGCTTAGGATAATGGCCTCCAACTGCATCCTGTGCACCTGACAAAGTCTAATATTCCAAATCTATAAGGAACTTATTATCTTGTTTAATTCCCACAACAACTCCATGAGACAGAGAATATTGTTTTCATTTTTCAAACAAGGACACTGGGGCTCAGAGAAGAATAAGTAACTCGCTCAAGGACACACAGCCTGCATCTGGTTGAGCTGAGGTTTGAACCCATGTCTTCCTGATTCCAAAGCCCTTGTTTGCAACCCCTATGTTATGTTGCCTCTTCTAGAACAGGACTGGTGATTACTCCCTCACCAATGAGAGAAATAACTTTCCACATAGACCGAAGTGAGTAAGACCAAAGTAACTTCCTTATGACACTCTATGAAGGAGTCTGACCTTAAAATGAGAATCTCCTGACCCTTAACCAATCAAACATATATTATTTTCCTATGCTTCTCCAGAACTTAGATGGCCCCAATACTAATGGATCTTGTCATCTATTTGGGGAGATAAGACAGACGCTTCTATTTACAGAAACAAAACCTACAGAGAAAAAAAATTCCCCTTTTCTTTTTACAGTTGACAGCTCAGGCACTGGTTTGGCGTGAGCCTGAAGAAGTTCCAGTTGCTGCCTCTTCCCTGCAGTTCTTGATCCTATTGTAAGCCTTTGCTGTCCATTTCCCTTGGGATGCAGTTGTGCCTAGTGGGTGTGACAGGTACTATTTTGCCCTAATGGAGTTTTCAGGGAGTCTCCTCATCATATTTTGGCCAAATCATTAAGGATAATTATCATGGACTTCCTTTTTCCTTCTTTTGAGATGTTGGGTGTCTATTGAGATGAATCCTACAGGATCCAGAGGATGGCTGTTGTATTACAAAGGAAGATCTCTGTGTAACGCTGGGGCAGGCACTTTTTCCTGCTTAGCCCTTTGGCATTAAGCAGGTGGATAAACTGCAGGTAGGGTAAAGGAACACCTTCCCCTGGAGAGGAGCACGACTAATTAATAGACATAAAACCCTTTGAGATCTCTTGATATTGAAAGGTCATTTATTATCATATGCAAAAAGAAGTTTCTATTTGAAATTTTTTTTGCAGGTGAATTACTGTCCTGTTAATTATAGGCCCTTTCCTTTTTAATAACGTCTGTGGGAGTCAGTGGTTTCTGAAGGTAACTCTGATATCAGCGATATTTTCACTTTGTCAGAAAATGTGTTCTGAGCCAAAGGAAAGAAGCTTAGGTTTCCTGGGCATTGAGTGTGCAGGTTTCAGCCTGGAGCTGTGCTCCTCCTTCCCAGCTTGCAGCCAGCCCTTTCTTCTACTGTGGGCTTTTGTTTTTTGATGCAAAAGCCGCCATCACCCCCTTCCCCAACATCACATACCATATCTTCTCCACAATGAAACGAGCTAGCAAGTGTCAGAAATTACTGTTAACACAGCCCATGGAATTTTAGGTAATTCCTAGCACATGGTTAATAAGTCAAAACCGATGTCTTCAAAGTGGCTGACCATGGCAGAATTTGGATCATT